ACTCCCCACTTAGCAGGAAGCCCAATGCAGGGCTCAATCCCAGGACCCCAGGATCCATATCATGACCTGAGACAAAGGCAGATGCTTAACTGACTGAGCCACCCAGGTGCCCCAAAGAATTAAGTTTTAAAATAAAACACAAATCTCTAAATAATAAGATCCTACTCTATGCACTTATGAGACAAACTCAGTTTTGAATGATACATGATGTATATATTTCCCATTCATTCATGCATCCATTCAGCAAATATTTCTTAAATTTCTAGATACCAAGTAATTTTCTGGTAATTTTTTTTACAGCAGTGAACTAAATCAAATTAATTCCTACCTTCATGGAGGATACATGTTAAATTCAATTTATGAATAGAAAAGTGGCACTACCATCAACTTGTTACTGTTTCTACTTGAGTGTATTTGCTACTTTGCTATAAATACTGTATGAACTATGGGGCCCATAGCTTGTTCTTTCTTGTTTCCATGTCTTCTTGATGCTTTGTCCATAGTGGCAAATATGGCATGACTTTTCCCTCACTAGGAAATCAAAAGGGACTTTGAACCTATCTCAAAATATGACTGTGAGAACTACCAGTCAATTACAATTTCATGGAGGTAAACAAAATGCCATTTCAGATACTTTTAGACAATTTGGTTCTATATGCACACTGTGTGTTCTGTAGCACTGCAGAAAATTCTGAGGAACTGGACATGTTTAAGAAAACAAGATAAAGCTGAAAATATGAGCCCTCTGAGCCTGAGTATCACAAAGCTCTGTGATTGAAACAATAAGAGTACACATTGAAGTACCAAAGTCATTATCACCCTATTATGGGTATATAAAACATTAGACAGCTAATTTTTCTCTCCTACAGATCATATCTGTTTCTATTTAATTTTATTGAAAGACATCCTTAAACCTTGAGTTTCATAGTTAATTTTGTTGACAAAATAATTTTTATTTTAAAAGGTTTAAGTTTTTGTATGTATTACTTTGATTTTTACCAGCCATTCATTCCATACATATTTATTGGACCCTCCTCTGTCCCTGTCCCAGGCATTGTTTTAGATCTAGAAATTCAGCAGTGACTAGAATAAACAATATCCCTGTCCTCATAAAAATTACATTCTACTTGAGAGGATTGAAAAGAGCAAATCTACATTCATATATGTGTATCAGGTAGTGCAAGGGCAAGAGCTAAGGAGAAAAATAAAACCCCAGAGGAGCAGAGGGTATGGTGAGGAGAGAGGGAAGGGTGGGAATTGGTTACTTCAGTCATAGCGTGGACAGGAAAGGTCTCAGTGAGAAAACCACAGGAGAGGGAGAGAGTCGTGGAGAAGTCAGGGTGAGAAGCACCTCTGAATGTTAGAATGCTTGTACAAAGGTCTTCAGCAGAAGTGTGTCTTAAGTGCCCTAAGAACAGAAAGCCAGGGCACAGTTAGCAGGAGGTAAAGTAAGAAAAGATGCAGGGTGCCAGACGATGTTGATCTTTGTATGTAATTCTGGATTTGTCTTCTACTCTTGAGTGAATAAATTATATACATTATATATATATATGTGTATATATATATACACACACACATATATATAATGTTATGTAATATATATACATTCTACATATAATTTATAAATTATATATTTATATATATATAAAATTTAATCTCACCACATGTTTAATACTGTTCAGATAGGGCTATACACTTTTCACTGGTTATACACTATTCACTATCACTGGCATCTTTTCTACCTTCTTATATGTGCATTATAATATACATATTATATACATATCATATACATATCATATAATATACATGATTTCTCTCTCTACACACACACACACACAGACATTCCTTCCATTAGTCCACGATGATCTCTCCTAATCAAAGCTAAAAATTGTAAACATAAAGATCATCTACATCAAGAAAAATATTAATCAACACATATTTGTATTGTCAAACCCAGAATCTATACATATCTCTACAGATTGACAAAATGGATGTTGAATCAAATATCCATATGTTTGGAATCCAGACACATTAAAATAGCATAGATTTTTTTTCTATTTTCATCAGAAAAGTCATTCAATGGGCACTGACAGATAGCAATGAACATGATAAGTATTTGTGACTTCTAAAAAAATATTTGGGGGAGATGGAACTGAAGGAAAATGTTTCTTTTTTTAATTAAACAATAACTGACATGCAATATTATTTTAGTTTCAGGTGCACAAGATAATGAGTAAATATTTTTTATACATTACAAAATGATCACCACGATAGGTCGTTATCATCTGTCACCATACGAAATTGTTGCAATATTATTGATTCTATTTCTTATGCTGTCCATTACATCCCTGTAACTTATTTATTTTGTAACTGTAAATTGATACCTCTTAATCCCCTTCTCCTGTTTCACCTGTCTCTCCCTCCAGCTCTCTGGCAACAACTAGTTTATTTTCAGTATCTGTGAGTCTGTTTCTGTTTTGTTTGTTTGTTTTGTTTTGTTTTTAGCTCCACATATAAGTGAAATCATATGTCTTTCTCTGTCAGATTTATTTCACTTCATATACTACCTATTAGATCCATCCACGTTGTCAAAAGATTTCATTTTTTTGTGGCTGAGTAATATCCCATTGTGTGTATGTGTATGTGTGGGGGTGTGTGTGTATGTATACAGGTACATACCATATATATCGCATAAGTATATACAACATCTTTTATATCTGTTCATCTATTGATGGACACTTTGGTTGCTTCCATGTCTTGGCTATTATAAATAATGCTGCAACAAACACAGGGGTACACGTATCTTTTCAAAGTAGTGTTTTCATTATTTTTTGGAAAGATACCCAGAAGAGGAATTGCTAGATCTTATAGTAGTTCTATTTTTAATTTTTTGAGGAATCCATTTTGCTTTCACAGCAGCTGGACCAATTTTTCCACCGACAGTGCACAAGGGTTCCCTTTTTTTCACATCCTTGCCAATACTTATTTCTTGTCTTTTTGATAATAGTCATTCTGACAGGTATGAGGTGGTGTCTCATTGTGGTTTTGATTTGCATTTTTCTGATGATTAGTGACGTTGAGCATCTTTTCATATGCCTGTTGACTATCTATGTGTCTTCTCTGGAAAAATGTTTATTCAGATCCTTTGCCCATTTTTTAAATCATTTTTTTTTTCTTATTGAGTTGTATGAATTCTTTATATATTGTGGATATCAACCTCTTATGAGATAATATGGTTTGCAAGTATCTTCTCGTATTCAATAGGTTGCCTTTTCATTTTGTCAATGATTTCCTTTACTGTGCAAAGTTTAGTTTGATGCAGTCCCATTTTTTTTACATTTTTACTTTTGTTGCTTTTGCCAGAGGAGACATATCTAAAAAAAATATCACTAAGAACAGTGTCAAAGAGATTACTGCCTATTTTTTCTCATAGGAGTTTTATGTTTCCAATCTTATATTCAAGTCTTTGATTCATTTTAAATTAATTTTGGTGTATAGCATAAGATAATAGTTCAGTTTCATCCTTTTGCACGTGACTGTCCAATTTTCTGAGCATTATTTATTGAAAAGACTGTTCTTTCCCCACTGTATGTTCTTCCTTCATTTGTCATAAATTAATTGGCCATATATGTGTGGGTTTACATCTGAACTTTCTATTCTAGCCCATTCCACAGATCTATGTGTCTGTTTTTCTTCCGATATCATACTGTTTTGATCACTATAGCCTAGAAGTGTAGTTTGAAATCAAGTAGTGTGATACTCCCAGCTCTGTTATTCTTTTTCAAGACTGCTTTGGCTATTTGGGTTCTTTTGTGATTCTGTATACCCTTTAGGATTATTTGCTAAAGTTCTACAAAAAATGCCATTGGTAATTTGGTAGGGATTACACTGAATCTGTAGATTGCTTTGGGTGGTATGGACATTTTAAAAATATTAATTCCTCCAACCCATTAGCATAGCATATCTTTCCATTTATTTGTGTTGTATTCAATTTCTTTCTTCAGTGTCTTATAGTTTTCAGAATACAGGTCTTTCACCTCTTTGGTTAGATTTATTCCTAGGTATTTATCCTTTTTAATGTATTTGTAAATGTGATCGTTCTCTTAATTTCTATTTCTGTTAGTTCATTATTAGTGTATAGAAACACAACAGATTTCTGTATATTAATTTTGTATCCTGCAACTTGATTAAAATAATTTATTAATTTTGGTAGCTTTTTTGGTAGAGTCTTTAGCTTTATATATATATAGTATCATGTTATCTGCAAATAATGACACTTATACTTTTTTCCAATTTGGATGTCTTTTATTTCTTTTTCTTGCCTAATTGTTGTGGCTAGGACTTCTAATACTATATTTAATAAAAGTTGTGGGAGTGGATATCCTTTTCTTGTTCCTTATCTTAGAGGAAAAACTTTCAGATTAGGAAAATGTTTATTTTATCTGCTATTGTTTTCAAGAAATACCACAAGTTTAATGATATAATTTTTAAGGCAATCCCCACTATCTTTAACTGATGATTTTATGAATGATTATAGGACCCACATGATTAAAAAAATTAAAAGAGCCAAAATGTTGCGAAAATATGGTAATATAGATAATCGTGTGTACTAGCATAATGGGATATATGTTATGCAGTGTCAATAACTTTAGAAGCATGGGAGATATATAAGGTCATCAGGAATGTCTTTATTCTATAAGAAAAGTAAGATAGTTCATTTATGTTTCTAAACTTTATAGAGAAAATATATACTTAAGATTCTATGTGACTCTAGTTTTAAGAAAATTCTCAGGATACTTGATTTATATTTGTAAAACACTTTACAATCTGTAGAACTTTTTTATTACATAAAGGAAAGTAAAATTTTCAGGGTAAAGGGAAATTTAATTGTTAATGTAGTTCTTGTTAAATTGTTAATGTAATAATTACACTACATTATATCTCATTGTATTTTCAGGGCTCTGTTAATCATGCTACCCTTTATTTACACTATTTTGCAGCTCCCTCTCCAGTCACCAATGTGAAAAAGGGGAAGATTGCAAAAAACAGCATCTCTTTGTCTTGGCAAGAGCCAGATCGTCCGAATGGAATCATCTTGGAGTATGAAATCAAATATTTTGAAAAGGTGAGAGTAATAGAATAAAGAATGTCCTTTCTTCTGCTGCTTCTTCTTTTTTTCATTTTAGCAACTGCAATTACCCAGTTTTTAGAAAAGCATGTTGCAATTTTATGTGTAAATCAATGACAATTGATTCTGCAGTCATGATTAGGGAGGCTAGAAATGTAGAGGGAGCACTCTATCCGTGTTCTTCCGCTGCCAAATGGTTTATGCTGTCGGACTAGTGCCATATAGTCTAACATAAGCTTAACTAGGTTTCACAGCATTAAAAGATGAAGTCATAGGACATTTTGCAAGTGTAAACACTTAAGTTCTTGACCTTCAGTACTGACTGCAGTGTACTACAAGGAAAAACACATATGGTTATAGCCATTAACCCTGCATAATACCTATGCTCTTAAGGAGGAATGGGTAGATAAGATGTGAATATAAAGTATAATTTTTAAAATTTATATCAAAAACCTAATACTGTATTATAAATTGTATTTTAAAATTAGAAGGCATAAAATCAGAAAAGTAGACCTCACATTTCCTACATTTTCTCAATTTCTTCTTTCCTGAGTTGTTTCTTAGGCCCACTCTTGAATGTTTTGCCATAATAGTTGTTGAGGTCTAAAGGCAATAATTATTCCTTTTCCTTTTTTCTGAATCCACAACCAAGTGAGCTATTGATAAAGAAATAATACAGATGGAAAATAAAGGTGAACTTAAATCTCTAAAGTGGAACTATAGCATATAGCTTAGATATGCAGTTACCATGGGTCTTCCTATATCTCCCACCCCCATTTTACTTTGATTTTTATACAGTCTGGATCTGAATGACTTACACTACTTAGAACAACCTGACTTCTAGTAGAGGAGAAAAAGATAGAAGCGTGCTCAAACCAGACTCTCACTGGTGGGTAAGAAGCTCTGACTCAAGAGTATGTATCCTATGAAAGTAGGAGCAGAAAACATCACAAACATATGCAGAGAAGCAGATCCCCCCAAAAAGGAAAGGACTCAGCCACATGTACTAAATTGCTTTCCCTAAACTCATGGAGGCATCACTCCTTCTCTTAGAGGGAATACTGAAGAGGGTAGGAAGAAGTTAAAGACTTACTTTGCAATCCCAGAGAAACTGTCCACGCTAGGACATTGGAAAAGAGAGGAGAGGGAATAAATGGTTCTCCTTGTACTAATGCAAAAATATCTGGAAAAATACTTATATTCTATTAATGAAAGTTATTTAAAAATTCAACATTTTGTGTATATGCGTAGATGAAAGAGTATAGGTAAATACATTGAAACACATTAAATTAATGCATAACATCATAGAGATTTTTTAATTGTTTCTTTTATTCATTGATTTAACCATTACCTGTGTAAAGATAGTGATAGAGAGTAGAACAGTAGTGGGTGGGGAAAGGGGGGCAGTGGGGATGTTTACATATCCTTCCTAGGTTTTGAATGCCTGTACAATGTTCTTATATTGATTTTATAAATAGATGAATAAATAGCAAATTACTACTTTTGAAGGATTACTTAGTAATCCTCCTAGGAATGACTTGCTGGTAGCATCACAAATAACTATTGGATCATTAGGGAACATAAATGAAGATACTTCTATTTCATAAAAAAAATATATTATCAAATACGTTATTCACCAAGAATGTCCTAAGAGAATATCTATGAGACAAAACTTTGTTGGTATAGGGGCACCTGGCTGGCTCAGTCAGTGGAGCATGCAACTCTCGATCTTGGGATTATGAGTTCAAGACCCACGTTGGGTGTAAAGATTACTTAAAAATAAAATCTTAAAAAAAAAAACTATATTGGGATATGGTTTACAGTATTTATTATAAAAAATAAGACAAATCAAGTAAAATGTTGTGTCATTAATATTCCTCACTGATTCTTGTTTCTCTGGGAGTAGTAGTCCAAATTGTATTTTAAATTCTAGAGATCTACAATCTAAACACAGGCTCTATCCAAAAATAATTTGTTAAATTAAGGTTTACATCCTTATTTATTTTTTTTTTTGCAAATTTTATTACTGTATACTAATGAAAAGCAGGAGATAAAGATAGATAGATAGATAGATAGATAGATAGATAGATGATATAACAGACTGATTTTTATAAATATTCTGAGTTTCAAGTTTTTACTGTAATTGAAGTTTATTTCAAAAGAAGTTGAAATGCATAATGACATTTAAAAATAATGATGCACCAGGGGTGCTGGCTGGCTTAGTCAGTGAAGCACACAACTCTTGATCTTGGGGTTGTGAGTTTGAGCCCCAAATTGGGGTTTGAGCTTACCTTAAAAAAATAAATTAGGGGCACCTGGGTGGCTCAGTCATTAAGCGTCTGCCTTCAGCCTAGGTCATGATCCCAGGTCTTGGGATCGAGTCCCACATCAGGCTCCCTGCTCAGCGGGAAGACTGCTTCTCCCTCTCCCATCCCCCCTGCTTGTGTTCCCTCTCCTGCTGTGTTTCTCTCTGTCAAATAAATAAATAAAATCTTTAAAAATTAATTAATTAATTGATTAATTAATTAATTAAAAGAAGGGAGTATTTAAAAAAATTTTTTTAAACTATTCACCAAAACTCTATTTTTGAATATACATTGTAGATGAAGTTCAACAGCAAGAAGACTAAAATTTGAAAAGTCATTATTTTTTTGTATGGTTTTTCTTCCCCTGAAGCATCTAGTTGGACCAATGTCTGGTTTTCTTTTTTGTTTCCAATGAAATTATCCTATTTTTTCCCCTTATGAGTAATCTTTCATTGTTTTTACTATTACCAGCATGTGCTTGAGTAATACTCAATAAAAGCAAGGATTTATAATTATTTTTTCTTTTTTTCTTTAAGTTGCTGCTTCTGTTAAACAAAGAGTTTTTCAACAAGTGGTAGGCAAAGTCCTTTTCTCTTAATATTCCTTCTAATGGATTTTATCCATGTTGTGGAATTATTTTCTTCATAGTTCTATACTTAGTTCATGAAATTTAGTTTTACATTTAATGTCTTATATTTAATGCCGTGTTAATGCATTCTATTATCTGTATAACTCAACATAAGAAAAAACAACTTAGGAAAATATTTCTATATATAGTTTCAGTAAATGAAGAGCAAGTTGTCCATTTACATTTACTTTACATTAACTCCCAGAACTTTTTGCCAAGCAAAATTATTGAGCATACCAACAAAATACATGAAAGTTTTTTTTAACACTTTCGGGAAAAAAAAAAAAAAAAAAGGAAAAAGAAGAAAAGGATAATGAGCTTTTATAGCATGTTTTGAGGTGGGGGTCCTGATAGGTTTCCCGAGCTCATTTTGAACCCTCAGAATGACACCACCATTTTATTGGATGGCTCTTGGCCAGACACAGGTGGCAGAGCTTTCCAGGGCTCCTGCATTTGCCAACTGGTATTACTACCTGCCATTGCCCTGCTCTAATAGAGGTCATTGGGCCTCTCTCCTCCTGCATGGTGATGGGCCCATTGCCATCTCTTAATTAAAGGCAGAGGCAAAGGGACCTGCCCCTTGGCAGGGTGTTTGCCAGCTGGCTCCTTCTGCTGAGGCCCTCCCCTCGCTGCATGTGAACAGTATTTGTTAAGCAGCTGGGGAATGTAGCTCATTTGCTCAGCTGGAGCACGAAGGCAGCAAAAGCCATTGCCCTGACCGGGATCTGGCAGCCTGGTGGCCGTGGGTGTTGAAGATGTATATATAGGGTTTGTGATAAAAAGGAAATTGTAATATGACCGTGACTGAAAAGAGTGGAACAGAAGCAAATTTTGGAAGATACTTAGGTAATTCAAAATCGGTATTAATGGTTTCGATCCCTTAGATATATGCTTTGGTGAGTCCCTCTGACACTAGAGATTTCAACAGACCCAGAGAGACAATGTGCAATTAGAACTCCGATAAAGAACCACTTAGATATACATGTTAATATATAAATCAGAATGTTGCATAATTTTGTGCAATTGATACTAGGTCATGCATTATTTCAAGGAGCAGCATGCCAGTTTCCTTATGTTTCCCACCCCCCCGATTTGGCAAAAATGTCAACTTCTAATAATTTTACAAGACATATTAATTGTGACTTCAATAGTTAGGAGTTTACAACAAACTTTTTATTAAATTTGCCATCATGATACAGACTCAAGTCAAATTTACCTAGAACTGGTTATGTTGTGGAGGTTGTGCTGGGTGCTATGTATATCATCTCTATTGCTCAACCATGCTCTTAATAAATAATTTTGTCCCATTTTAAAGAAGAAAAAACTGAGGTTGAGTTGTGTATCCACATTTGCACACTTCTTAGACAATAGGATGGCTTGAATTCTAACCCTGATATTCCTGTGCTCTTTTATAAAACAAACAAAAAATCTCTTACTTTACATTATGTTAATATTTTATGTAAAAATCATAATTATATCAAATATACCAGAATCTTTAGTTTTGTCTAGATTTTTAAACCAACTTCTCTTTAAAGAAAGAGAAAATAATAACAAACAGATATTTTATCATTTCTTGCTGAAATTACTGCTTCAGTCATAGCCAAAGTGAAAAGTATAATCTTATTGAGAAAGTCTTGCATATTCAGTCTTAAGCTTGAGCAGCCACAGAACATCAGTACATTACTAGGTAAAATTTTATAGGATTTAATGACCTCCTTTAAATCCTTTGCAAAAATCTAGTAATATTTCCTAGACACCTTAAAGACCTGGCACTTAAATTAATCTGTGCATTAAAAAATTTTAAGAAAATAGTTGTTTGCGTAGAGTGAATCAGAAAACCTATTTGCATTAGAAATTAGAACATACTTATTTAGATAGATATTTGGATGAACTTAACCCTAAGATAATTCTCTATGTTTGACTGTATTAAATGAAGAATGGTAAAACTGCTTTAAAAATTTTTTTGGTAGGTTGTATACTTTAGATTGTATTGGTGAATAGAATGTGATTAGCAATTCACTTTGATGTGTCAAAGTAGAAAAAATTTAAATAAAAATTATGACAATTAAAACATGTATTCTCTAGTTTATTAAGTGTTTTCACATGCATTACTTTTTTCATTCTTACAACATCGCTGTGAAGATATCCAGGCACCAATATCCCAACTTTACAGATAAGAAAACTGAGGATAAAAGTAAAAATGAACTTGCTGTATTTTAGCACATGCTTTCTGTGTCCACACTAAAGTCACAGCATGGTATGCTGCTATTGATTGTAAACTTCAAGGGACAAGGAGCATGGTTTGCATTTATTTTGCATTTTAATAGTGTTATGAAGATTAAATAATAACCATGTTCCCTATTGGGATGTTTGAGAAGTAATTGTTATATTTTTGTTTTCAATTTTTTTCTCATTTCAGAAAAAAAAAAATCCTTACATGTTATTCCATTAGATCTTTAAAAAAAACCTCAATACATGTTTCTATTAGTAAAATAAAATTTTATGAAATGATTTGGCAAATGATGGTTTACAGTCATCAACAAGATACTGTAAGTAAAGACCAATGCTTAAAAATGGGAGAAAAGATCTCTAACCATTACCTATCAATTCATCCTGTAATATCTATCAGAAATGTAATAATTGTGGGGACACATTAAGGAAATGCAAGTGTAGTCAAGAATTCACACAGAAAAATGCAAGGGAGGAGAAAGTTCAGAACAGGGACTTTGTGTGTTTAGATCTTTGTAGGTTTCAGATTCAGTGTGTAGGTCTAAGATTCAGTGTGGTAACCTCAGAGGTAAGGAGAAGTTATGTGTGGTTAGTCTAGACTTTGGTAGCAGTCAAAATGGGAACAGTTTCCAAAACAATCTTTACAGTGATATTTTTTTCACTCCATCTCCATTCACTACTCACCCAGCTCAAACACAAGAACGTGAAAAAACAGAAAGCTTTTTAAAAAGAAAAAAAATTTCTTTAGTTTTTCTTCAGTAATCTCTGTTTAGAATTAATGAATTGAAATTAAAGTTCTCCAGCAGAGTCCTCATTCTTCTCCCAAGCCCTAAATATAATTAGAAGTCAAACTCACCAGGGCGCCTGGGTGGCTCAGTTGGTTGGGCGACTGCCTTCGGCTCAGGTCATGATCCTGGAGTCCCTGGATCGAGTCCCGCATCGGGCTCCCTGCTCGGCGGGGAGTCTGCTTCTCCCTCTGACCCTCCCCCCTCTCATGTGCTCTCTCTTTCTCGTTCTCTCTGTCTCAAATAAATAAATAAAAAAAATCTTTAAAAAAAAAAAAAAAAAAAAGAAGTCAAACTCACCAGAGATACAAGGCATAAGTCTTACCTGGCCGTATATGAGACCTTGCCATCATTCTCTGTGAATAGGCAGCACGTTAGATGTGCTCCAATAAAACGTTTATGAGAAAAATAAACTCACAAATACCAATACTAAAATAGAGTCTGTAAAATAATTCATCTCCTGCAAGTCATATTTTAAAAGTTTACAAATTTATTTGTGCCAAAGGCAAGTATGGTGGGTGACTGGAGAACATGTTATCCACCCTCTTTGAGTTCTAGGAAACACTTTTAGGCTTTATATAGATAGCACACCTAGGATGTATAGTTGTTGTTGTTTTTTTCCCCTAAAAGATTATATTTGTACTAATAGCAAGTTCATTAGTTTCTGATTTTCTGATTTCTGATTCTAAGTTTTGTTGTCATTAGTAACTCATATGTTGACTTTTTTATTGTATGCGCATGTGTAATCCAAGGACCAAGAAACCAGCTATACAATTATCAAGTCTAAAGAGACAACTGTAACTGCAGAGGGCTTGAAACCAGCTTCAGTGTATGTCTTCCAAATTCGGGCACGCACAGCAGCAGGCTATGGTGTTTTCAGTCGAAGATTTGAGTTTGAAACCATCCCAGTGTGTAAGTCATTTTAATTACTGTCAACGCGTGTCTCTGTAATGGTTACCAGAAAAGTGGATCAATACTCTCCCTGGGCATTCTGTCGGTCTCCTGCTCCTCTCTGTCTCCCAGGCATGACCCCTTCGGGTAGGAAGCATCTGCCATGCTATTACGGTAGGTTAGTGGGTTAACACATCGGTCCCTGCTCCTCATCACATTTAGTCTACTGGGAGATGAAAAATCAAGAGATGCTTAAGAAATGTTTAAACCTGCTTTTAAAGACTTTCTTTCCACAGCTGCCATACTTTATTGAATTATTGCCATTGACTTTTACTTGTTTTATTGAACAATGTTATCAGGCTTAGTCTTTCTATGAAAATTCTACAGGGAGCATGCATTAAGTATTAAGTTTGGCAAGAAAATGGCGCTCTTAGCAACCAATCTGATCATTTTGAAAAATCAAAATCTCTGGCAGTGTCTCTGAGTGAAGGGTCTAGAAATATTCTGGAAAACATTTCTTGTACCATTTTTAAAATAAAGTAGCATAAAACATTTTTCTCTTTAGCATCAAACAAAATATTTAGATTACTTGTCCTAAAGCACACATTAAAAGCAAGATTAGAAGAAAACAATAGCTTGCTTTTATTTATAGATGAAAAACTGACACTATTAATACTTACTAATGAAGAAAATAACATACAGGAGTAGTGTGAAATGTCAAATGTGTGCGTGTATGTATTTTCATTTGGTGCATGACAGTTAGGAATAGAGACTATGGACTCTGAGAAACAAACTGAGGGTTCTAGAGGGGAAGGTTGGGGGGATGGGTTAGCCCGGTGATGGGTATTAAAGAGGGCACGTTCTGCATGGAGCACTGGGTGTTATGCACAAACAATGAATCATGGAACACTACATCAGAAACTAATGATGTAATGTATGATGATTAACATAACATAATAAAATTAAAAAAAGAGAATACTGGCTTTAATGAGTTACCAATACTAAGAAAATTCTATCTTATCATTCAGGTATGTTAGGACAGAAAACTATCTGAAGATCATTACCTTGAACATACACTTTAAAAAAAGTTTTCTAATTGGTTACTCAATTCATAATGATGATGCATGATGTTATTGATTTGTTTCATTTTTAAAATTTATAAATTTTAATTTATATTATAAGTAGGTCACAAAATTGTTATGAAGGGCTTTTCTTTTTCATCTCTATTATCTCGTATGTCATTCATATAGTCCTAAAACCAAATGCAAACAGTAAGCACAAGAATATAAAATCTTTATTTTAGAAAGGCTATTTAACACGAGGATTTGGATGGAAAAATCTCAGAGTGGTCTTTCTCTCTCTAGCTTTAGTTTATATTTTATAACTGCCTATTATCCACTTTGTTATGCATATAAATAACATGTTTAAAATTGGCCCCATATGTCATCCTTTTTCCCAACAGCAATGATAAAAATGCACCAACAAATAAACTTAGCATGAATGAAACCATCTAGCCAATCTAGTTAATTCTTTTTTTTCTGGTTTCTTTTAACATAAATTGTCCTGTAACTTTGAGACTATCACTGAATTTTTCTTAACTCCCACTTGCTAAGATTTACCAAACACCTTTGTGTTTCTTTTATGATTTTTTTTCTCCAATACATCACTTCCTTTCATGCAATTCTTACCTACAAATCTGTATAACCCAATTGCTGGAATAATGCTATTCTGTTTTTTTAATGACATTTTTATTTAGATAAGTTGAGTTTTACATGCAATTGTAAGTAACAATGCAGAATGGACTCTTGTACAATTTGCTCAGTTTCCCCCAATGGTAACATTTTGCAAAACTATAGCATAATATCACATTCAGAATACTGACATTGATGCAATCCACCAATCTTACTCACATTTCTTTCTACTCCTTTTTGTGTGTGTGTATAGAAACAGGTGAGTGTATTAAGTTGGATACAATTTAGTCAGTTGTATAGATTTGTGTATCTACCACAAAAGTCAAGATGCTGAATAGTGCCAACATCACAAAGATCCCTTGGGTTGCCCTTTTATAACTATACCAACTGCCTTTTGGAAGAGTTCCTGTGCCATAACTAATCACTGACAACCGCTAATTTCTAAACATCCATTTCAAAAAATATGATATTTCAGAAATGTTCTATACATGGAATCATACAGTATGTGACAGTTTAGAATTGACTTAATTCTCTGGAGATGCATCTAAATTGTTATGTATATCAAGTTTTTTTTGTTGAGTATGTTATGTGTGGACCACAGTTTATTTAAAAATTCACCTGTTGAAGGACATCTGGGTTAATACCAGTTTTTGCTATTGCCAAAAAACATGCTATGAATATTCATGTACATGTTTTTTCATCGATCTAAGTTTTCATTTCCCTGGGATAAATACCCAAGAGTACAACTGCTACATCATACAGCAATTTTATTTTTAATTTTGTAAGAAATTGACAAACGGATTTCCAGAGTGACTATACCATTTTACAGTCCCACCAGCAATGTATGAGTGATCAGTTTATCCACATTTTTATCAGCATTTGCTGTTCTCACTATATTTTTCTTTTAGTCATTTTGGACGGGTGGGTAGTGATATCTCATTATGGTTTTAATTTGAAATCCCTGATGGTTAATGATGTTCAACCTCTTTTCATGTGCATATTTGCCTGCCATGCTGTTTTAAATATCCCCACTAACTCCTATGTACTCATATTACATATCAAAAATTATAGCTTTGATCAAATTATCTTAATCAAGAAAATTAACAGATAGTTACAGCTGTGGTAGAAAGATCCCAAATTCTTAGCCTGGTCTTCAAAAACCCTTATAATCTGGCTTTAACAAACCTTTTCAGCTTCATCATTAACTATTCAAATATAGAGCTAAAATGTAGAGACTATCTATGTAATATGGGTTTGCAATCAGGAGTATGAGAAGCAAAATAAGGTAATCAATGTGATTTCTCAGTGTATGCTACCTTAAAGTTTCCAGGGATAATTTAAGTATATAATAAGTGAGGAAAAAGGAATATTGTTTACTAAAGACAATTAATGTTTATAACGAATATCCTTTTAATAGTAGTGTGTTACGTTGCCCCAAATTTGCTTTTAAGCATTCCCTAAATATTCCTCAGTAATTCTTCCAAAACTACATGACATACAAAAAAAAAAAAAAAAAAAAGGAAATGTGAGTGACTAGAGGTTTATATCTTTAAAGATGAAAAAACTTAATGATATATTAAAAAATAATCATGGATCATACCGGGCTTATAATATTTTTTTCCTTGAAGAAGTATGAGGGCATTGACAGTACCTTATCAATTCTATATATTTTCAAGTTAGTTGATATATTGGGGATATTACTGATGCTGTCAGGACAAACAAAGGAATAAATAGTACAAAATCTTGATGAATTATTTTTATTAGAAATAGCTCACAAAATAATTAGTACATTTGAAATAGTAAAATAATCAAAGCCCATCAAGGAAATTAGAAAATGCTGAAATTTTTCTAAAAAATGAAAATGTATTATTTAAATTCTTCCTCATAGGCCCTTGATTTAATTGTCTATTATACAAAAGATCTGATTTAAGTGAACAGTAGATAAAAACATGTAAATATGAACATATGTAACTTGGTACTACTAAAATATTTTCATAAAATGTTTTAATTTAAGCATTTGAAAATTTTTGGTATGCTATTAAAAGTTACTTTATTGCAAGATGTTAACCCATACCATGTATATTTTAACATATTGTTAAGTTATATTAGATCTTGTCAATTATTAAAAATGAAGCATTTGAGAATATGGGGCATCCATATTTTTTCTCAAAATTAATATTTGATTAGTCTGAAATTGTCCTATTTTTATCCCTACTTCTGATTAATCATGCCTGCTTCCTCCAAAACTAAATCTCAGAGTGCCAAAATGGCGCATTGAGACCAGAAAGATTTGTTAGAATTTTGTTACAAGGGCTTTTGAATGCTAGATGGAAAATTTGGGAATTTTTTTTTTCATAGATAGTGAGTACTTGTTAACTTTTTGGTCAGAGAAACATGATCAAAGTGATATTTTTGGATATTTATGTGAGTACACAGAAGGCAAAGGGGACACTTAAAATGCCGACGAACCATATGCCAGCAGATTTGAATCAAATAGGTGACTGTTAGATGAAAAAATATAATTCATGGGGAAAAACAAAAGAAACAGAGCACATGTTTATTAATTAATAAGCAAGTGGGAATTAAGAAAAATTCAGTGATAGTTAAAAGAAACCAGGAGAAAAGAGATCAAATTAGTCTGGTTCGTGGTTTAATTTATGGTTATGTTTATTTATTGATGTGTTTTTGTTAATACCCTTGGGGCTGGATGTGGCATAAGGGCCAATTTTTAACATGTTGTTTTTATATGAAAACACAATCCAAATAAAAAGAAAGCAGTCTTTTTTTTTTTTTTTAATAGAGTGAAGCTTTGAAGAGAAATAAGACTTGGAAATATAAATTTGGGACTCATCAGCTTATAGTTAACTGATGCCATATGCAAAGAAGTATCCATGAGAGGTAGGGAGAAAAGAAAGAAGGGAGGGAGAAAGACAGAGTGAAGAGCCAAGGAAGTGTGAAGGATTAAGAGCCAGCACTCATCAGAAATTGTTCATGCATAAGATGTGGGGAGAGAATGTGAAGCCAACAGAACTGACAAAGTAGTACTTCAGAGTGGGGGAAAAAGAGAAAACAGATCATCTGATGTCATAGAAACGAAGAGGAGCAGAATCTCAAGGTTGAAGTTTATGTTCAACAAGGTCAAATGCCTTATAGTGCATGGTAAGGTAAATGGAGAAATACTTATTGCATGTAGCCAGAATATCACACATAGAACTCAAAGACAGGAGAAGTTTCAGAGAGAATTTACATTGGTTATCAGAAAATGAGGCTGGTTCTAGATAACTTAGTCAAGATGCTGAAAAATAAGAAAGCGTAAGAGTGATAAACAAAGCAGGATCAGATAACAATATGTAGAAATATTATCTACTATTTATTTAAGGCTGGCAATAATTGAAGCACTATGCTAAATATCATCTCTAAACAGAATTGTAATGATCCAGGAAAATTATCCCTATTTGGAGATTAGTGAAATGAAACTTGATAAGGTTAAGTACTTTGCTTTGGCCCATATACCTAGTAAATGTTGGACCTGTTTTCAAATTTAAGTTGAACCAACATCAGTAAGGTTAGGTATAAGGATCTGTGTCCCCTAAGGAGAATTACGTGTTCAGGCTTGTAGATAGCAGAGAAATAGCCTGTAAGGGAATGAAACTCTCTCCTGGAGGAGATTGTTGAAGGATCCAGGTTTTAGAAGAGCCAGGAAGGATTCTAACCTTGGAGTTAGGTAAAGCAAAGGAAAACTGTATAACCCATACAGTTTGATTTAACCATGGAGTTCAGACTTGATCACTCTTTTTTATCTATAAAGTTTAACATTTCTGAAACATGAGAAGTGGTAATGAATTAGTGTTTTGAGAAAATGAGAAGGACTCATTATGGGGATGATTTTGTCAGGAAATTAATAAGAGAGAATCAAAATAATTGGAACAGCAGTTAGAGCCCAATAAAAATAACATTATGTATACGGACCAAGTCTGCATGATTTTTTTCTCTTGGAACATGCCCCTTACCAAAAAGAAAATTAAAGAATTAAGAAAAAGCAATGGTATAAATAATCTGAGTTTAGAGATTATAAAAGCAAATCTTGGGTCTAGGCTCTTTGCGATAATGGAGTAGCTTTGCCCTACCCATTTATACTGCTCACCAGCTTTGAACTCCCTATCACAGACTTCAGCATCAGATAATAGGAGAGAAAAATCAAGATAAAGAACCACTGAACCACAACTGTTATTATCCAAGAAAAGGGAGGGGGTAAGAACATAGATTTAGATTATCAATAAGTCTTTCTCATACATGAACAAGCTTTTGTTGATACTGGTTTTGAAGACTGATCTGAAAGGGTTAAAAGTGTAGCTCAAGTGCAAGAAGTGTCAGAGTCAGTCAATTCTGTTTTGAAAGAATCAAAAGAGAGGTGACAATAATAGAAAGGGAAGTTTATGTATGTCCAAAACTATTGATGGGGCCAAGATCTGGTGAGGGGTTATGAGAAACAAAACATGGAAAGTATAGTTGTTATTACTTTTGATAACTTAAAATTTGTTATGAAGGGGAGCTAGCACCACTCTGAATTTATCAAAAATGATTATATTGTTAAACAATAGCATGGTATATATCTTATTGAGTGGTTTTTGAGAACATTAGTAAAATTTATTTTGCTCTATGAGTTTCTTATTTTAATAATGCATAGTTGTTGGCACAAAATTAATATCCCCATGCTTATTGAGGTACAACTATCTACTCATGTCCATATTCCTCTTATTATGGTAATTGTACTGTTAAAATGTAGGATATTTCAACTAAATCCAGGTATTTAAAAAAAATGATGTAAATAAACCTACTCTTAGCAGACTTCTCAAAGTTCTAAATGTGTGCCTTGATATCTTTCAAAACGTAGTCCTACACATAAAGTATACTCACTGATTATATTCTGCTTGAAATCACAGTTTTTAAACTTATATTAGGAAAAGTGATATTATATTAACTTCACTGAAATCATAGCCAGAACATTTTGGCGTTCAAGCTATGTCTATGAGGAAAAAAAAAACAAACAAAAAAAACCCTGTCTCAGGTACCAAGATTTTTTTTTTTCTAGCGAACAGCCACATGTGAACTCTAAAATGTCAAATCTTATATACTTAGCACCTCTTATTCAGATGAAGGTGTTTGATCTCAAGGACTAAGTTGCATTTTATCTTGCAAACTCAAGATGCCTAGATAAATACTATGCAAACGATTACATTCATTTTTTATGATGACAAAGAAATAATCAGTGACTTAGTGATTCTTTCAAATTTCCATTTGGAGAGTAAATATTGTCTCCTAAAGATGTCTTTTCAATTACACACCATTGAGAAGAGATATGAAGGGGAAATCTCAGCCAAGTGTGGGGGAATTGCTTAAACCACGTATCAATTACTGACTTAAGCAGCTCTTATTTGAATGCATATGATCTCTTTAACCACGGGCTCCATTTCCTGTGTCTCCTACCAGCAGTTGAAGCATCCAGCGATCAAAGCCAGATCCCTATAATTGCTGTGTCTGTGGCAGTGGGAGTCATTTTGTTGGCAGTGGTTCTCGGCTTCCTCCTCAGTGGAAGGTAAGAAAGGAAGCTGTGATTTTGAACTTTTGCAGCTGATCTCTTCTTTACCTTGATCTGACCATTTGGCTGTTAAGCACATCCCAAAACAAATCAGGCAAGCAGCGTATCAGTAGATAACTTCAATGTCTGATGTATTTTTAAGCTTTACCTTGTCCATGTTAAGCGCTAACTTTTAAGCACAGAATTTCTCTTTTTCAGGTACGCTGTCTTCGCAAGAGTTAATTATTAACTTGTTATTATTTATTCTGCCTTAAATCATATTTTTTATGATATAGTTTTCAAATGTGAATTTCTTTCCCTCAAAATCATTTATGGTTTTCTGCTTCGATTTTAGTGTTTGGGAAGGCCTGTGCCTGTGCCTGGTAGATTCAGAGGAATAGGACTAATAATTCTACTTAGCCAGCATTCTATCCTAACAGGGTGATGGATACCAAACAGATACTCTGGCAAACCACCATTCTGAGAAGTAACCAACCCTTTTCCATGACTGCTTTTATTTTCAGCTCCTGAATGATTTCAATCTGAATACATCAATCAGAGCATGTACTGATTTAAAGTGAATTGTACTCAATATTGTATCAATAGATACATTAACATGTGTGTTACACATCTACATTTTTCATTTTGAACAAAAATAAAAGAGGTAGAGAGACCCAACAACAACTTATGTAGAAAGTATTTCCTGATATTGAGTTGAGCATAATCAATCTTCAGAAAAAAAAATTTAGAACAACAATAAGTAAATAAATCAAATCATAAGAATGCACTGTTCCTGCAACAAACATATCTCCATTTTTTATCCAGGCCATTGTTAGAAGCGCTATTTAGTAATTAGAGCTGTCCATTTGAAAATGTTTTGGTGTTAGACTATTACAGAAAACTTGATGAAAGTCTTCATGGAAATATTTAGACTTGCATAAATATGTGAAGTTGTAATGTAGGGTCCAGAAAAAGTCAGAAAATCAATATTCATATTGATTTTGTTCCTGTTCTACTTATTTACTTTTGACTCTTCAGCACATATTCAACTCATAAATATACAGAATTGGGCACTTTTCAATATACTGCATATTGTATTCTGAAAAGATTTATGACTATATCCTTAAATTAAAGTAATTTATTTTCATAAAACCTTGTTGAAAATATTCCTTTGAACATCCTTTCTTTTTGTATCTGAAAATTCCTTTTCTTCTAGTTCCTGTTTATTTAAGAATGTTCAAAATTTTCTTAAGTGTGTATACAGAAATCCATCGCTTACTTTTAATGTTAGACTAGCAGTGATGCATTTTTAGAATTTCTAGGTGGGAAGCAGTTTGTGATTTTGTGAGGACAACTGGCCCTATTTGACCAAAAGCCTGGCTACCTGATGACCTACGGTTCTTGTCTCTCTGATGTCACCTGGGAAGACTCCTCTGATTATGTCCCTCTTTCCTGGAAGATAAAAATTTTGTCATAAAAATTTTGCTCATATTTATTTATTTTTAATATATATTTTTAAAGATTTTATTTATTTATTTGACAGAGAGAGAGACAGTGAGAGAGGGAACACAAGCAGGGGGAGTGGGAGAGGGAGAAGCAGGCTTCTAGCAAGGAGCCTGATGTGGGGCTCAATCCCAGGACTCTGGGATCATGACCTGAGCCAAAGGCAGACACTTAACAACTGAGCCACCCAGGTGCCCCAAAACTTTGCTCATATTTAAATAGGATAATTAAGTTGAGTGTATGGTAACTATTAAGAAAACTACCACATGAGATGAGTCTTTTCTCCCTCAAAAGTGTAGATAACTATGATACAGTTTCAGAGTTGGTTTGTAATATCATTTCTTTACTTCTGACTGAGATATTAGTTGGCTTCTTCCTTTCCAAATCCAGGAGTATTAGTTATAGTTAGGGACATGGGGATCATAAGAAGATACTGTATTTCTTAGGTCCACACTTAGAGGAAGTCAATAAAATGGGAGGAAAGATCTGAGATCTAGAATCCAATAAATTTGTGTGTTTAAGGGTTTATTAAAGGGAAAATCAAGTATAGAATGTATCTTATTATATACTTAGCCACACTGTATTTATTTAACCTACATACTGTTAATGTGAATTTACTGATGACATTCAGCTATGGATTCTTGCTTACTTGTATGTGAATCAGCCCTTGTTCTCAAAAATTTTTCTTCCCCAATATATACACAAAATTGACTTAAAAACAATTTACTTTGTTGCATCTGTAGCATTAGACAAAGTGTTTGAGAGAAGTTTCAATTAACCTATTACTTGGTAACTGAAGGGTAGTAATGCGTTAGTGTGTGTGTGTGCCCACATGTACCACATGAATTCTGTAAGTACCTGGATTTGCTGTGTAAGAATAATTAAATTTTAGTATAATTTCTCAGTTATACTAGAATTACATCTACATTCAAAGGTACAACCAAAGCTTAATTTTCAGCATAACTAAATCTGAGACTTGGTAAGATCAAATTTTGAATGTATTGTCTTGTAGAAGTATATTACTTTTAAAAAATAACAATACCTTGTTAATTTGTACGTTGTTTATTCATATTAAATTTTTTTCTGAATTTAATTTTATAGCACACAGTTTACTATGCAAATACTAGGAATCTTCAATTTAAAGGAAAACAAATCTTACCCCTCAAAATCTGAGATTTATATTTTTTTACCGGCATATATTTTGCATGAGAAATTATCATTACTTCATTTTGTTGAATGCACATTCTTGAATTTCAGGGGGTATTTGTCTTATGATAAAAACATCTCTGGCCATCTTATTTTATTTTTCATGGATAAGTTATTTTATGTTGCTTTAAATAAATATATTTACTCAAAACCTAAATGAAATGATTCTTGAAGGTCTTTTTCTATCTCGTTCAAGGCAATGAGCTTTGAAGTTTTTGTTTGGACTAAGAAAGGTGTGCCTATCTCATAGTACCTACAGTTCCTGAATTAACTCTATAAAGATGTATCAAATAAGAGAAAAATTAAATGAAGAAATGTAGCCAAAACCTAACAGTATTTGGGAAATTATTATGAGTACTGACAAATTATTGAAAAAAAGTCTGCTCTAGGATTGGTCTGAAGACAGTGAAATATATTTGTTTCTCCCTCCTTTCTTTGCCATAATATGACTAATAAACACACACAAAAATACAATGAAATTTAGACTATCCTCTCACTCTAATCTATTTTGTTACTTTTTAATCTCTTGAGTTTATTAAAAACCAGGTATTTGCTCCTAGGGGAAATGTATTTTAATTATAAATAATTTGACTCCTCAGTGGTGATACAGATAAATTAATTTTTATATGTTGCAAAATATTAATATTACTTAAATGTAATATTTATTGACAATTTGTATCATTTGGACCCAGAGGAAATATGTCTTGAAGATACATAGTCACTGATAATTGGTAGTTTTGTTCACACCAAGTCAAAAAAACAGGATTATAACATTTTGAAAACTATGGGACTAATTTATTTCAAAGAAAAAATAAATGTTTTGTTCTAAAATAAATGAAAGATAAATAAATCGAATATAGAGACTTTCTAATCATTTTAGGCTAAAATTGATTACACAGAACTTCTTGGAGTCTTCCTATCGAGATACAGTTAAAAATAATGTAAGCAGATATCCATCTTAAAGGAAAAAGTTCCATTTAAAAAAATACAAAGAATTATAACATCTTAGGATTCTGTCAGTCTTAGAATTTGTGTGATCTTCGTGTTTAGAGGTGCTAAATATTCCATAGAGCATTTTTCTGCAGGGGTTAGATTCTCCTTTTTACTTTCTTTACCATTAATTTTAATTTTTTTTTTTATTGGACTACAAAACAACTGACATGTCCTCAGCAAACTATGAGCCAGTTACTCCTGATATGCACAGCATGTTGAAATTGTTGTTTAATTTTTCCCTTTTATCAGTAATGACAATGCACATTGATAACTTTATTATATGCTAATTTTATTGTTTTTTCTCCTTATAGTTACTACTTTATAGTATAAATTGTTTAATGAACTAACATTTCATTAATGATTGTCATCTCCACGCTGCCACATTTCCACATGTTTGAGCAAGTCTTTTATAGTGTCCTTCCCCTCTTTTCCTTTCTTTTGAAGATGATCATTGATTACATTAAGTTACTTTTTTTCTGTCTCCGCTTCAAACTTGCTGCCTAATTCTTGATTACTGGACACTTCTTAACCTGATATAAAGCTTAAGTTAACAGGATTTAGTGGTACAGAAAGTATAAAGGAAAACATCTTTCAGTGTAGAGAAACTTCCTTCTTTGAACCTTGGTCAGTATAGTCATCCTGGTATTTCACAATATTTTTTAATACTTTGTTTCTGATTCCTCACTTATTACATGCTCATGGATTTATTTTCTTATCATTTTTTAAAAAGAATTATTTATTTATTTGAGACGGAGAGTGCCCACACAAGGGGAGTGGTAGAGGGAGGGAGAATCTCATGCAGACTCCACACTGAGTATGGAGTCCACTTGGGGCTTGATCCCATGACGTGAGCCGAAACTGAGTTGGACACTTAACCAACTGTGTTACTCAGGCACACCTCATGAATTTATTTTTTAAGAAAATTCCAGAGCTTTGCTTCTTTATTTCAATCAGTTCCACAGGTATGCTCAGAGGTTAAAAACACACACACATTATACACATACACTCCCACACGTTTGCACAAGTTCTTGCAAATAAGTACAAAGAAGTTGAAGGTGTTCACCAGTTTTAAAAATGGAAAAAAAACAAAAAACAAAACTATGAGGTGGAAGAAGAGGTGGAAGAATTTCCTCAAGCTGCTTAGCCTTTGATGTGATTTTAAGGCTACTCATATATGACTTGAATATTATGACGCTCCTGAAATGATAAATTTAGTTTCAGGGGTGGCTTAATGCCCATAGAAAAAGATTTTTTTCTGGGCAAAAGATCTTCCCTTGTTTGTCCTGTGCATGTTCAAATCCTCTGGCTGGACATAT